TTATGTCATTTACTAAAAAAATATCAATTTCAGAACTCAAAAATTCCAGACAATGATGGCATCGTGCAGTTAAGTGCCGAAGAATTAACAGGGCGGTCAAATAGCACTTAGCGGATCTTTCTGAAATATCCAGTGATACTCCTCTCACTTCGCCTGAAATTTTCAATACTCAATATGTTTCAGTGAACAAGGTACAGATCAATAGGAATGTCAGTATGCCATAAAGAACATAAATCTCACACCTCTGTTAATACAAATATATCCAACATATCAAATGTATCAATATTTTCTAATGAACATATTTAATTCAGATATTTTTTCCAATAATAATTGTTCTAAAAACAGAACTTTGATAATAAAAAATGATAAATTACCCAAGTCATACAAACTGAAAGTAATGTTTTTCTAGAAGGCTATTGCTATACAAATCCGATAAACTATTTCCCTGATGAGTTAGCAATTGACTTAAGAGATTTGGGTATTTTAAAGTTCATGTCATCACATACAAACATTGGAAAGGGTTTCTGTTAAAGAAATTAATATAAAATAATTGATATTTAATCTTGAAAATAATGTTGTGGTGTTTCTACTGCATACTGAACTATAATTAAAATAAATTTTCTAAATTTTAAGTTCTTCCGATCTTTCATCACATGTATTTTGCATAACAAAAATTTAATTCTTAATTTTAACTCCTTGTTTTGCTTAATGTTATTGTAATATTAATATGTATTGGTTCTTTTTTTTTAAGTAATATTAAACTTTTTTATGAAGTTTTATAATTGTTTTATTATTATAGCCCTTATATTATTCACGTCCACATGCAATCATTGAAATATTTGAAAATGGCTTTTAAAAGCTGGGTAGCCCAGTAAAATAAGGAAAAAGGGGCTTCTGGGATCAACATAAACAAACATGTAAAAATAGCGTTTTTCATTAAAGTATTTGGCCAGAAAAAATAAGTATAAAATGCATATTTGGCTCAGTTTATATAGCGTTATCCTACAAACAAATATGTAATGACTTTATATATACGCTCAGTGAAAAAATAGTGTTTTACTTTTTTGTTCATATCGATCCCAGGAATATTTGTGGAAAGGTTTGAGAATTAATATTGAATGCCAATATTGATATTAAACTAAATGGTAAAATGGGTTTTAAACTAGATTCCAGTATTTATTTCATACCAATATAGTATGACAATAAAAATTGGACCTATCCTGTTGTACATAAATTTGCCGATATTGGTTTCAAATTGAAAGCCAATATTGCATGATAATGATGGCGTAAAATGGGACCAATATTGAAAAAGAATATTGAATTTGGTTTGTACTGCATTATAATTTCTATATTGTATCCAATCTACACTTTAATATAAGCTCAATATTGTTTACTTATATTGGCGATTTACTGAAATATATATTGGATAAATGTTTCAATACAACGTTGGCCCTTGTTTTTCAGGCGTTAGCACTTTGATCCGCAGCCAATATTTAAATACGTTTTTAACCTAACATTGTTTTTAGAATGAATGCATAACTTAAACCAATATTATAGAACAATGTAGGTGCAAAATTAAAGACAAATATAGGACCAATGATGAAACTCAATATTGAGTTTTGTTTGTCGTGCGGCATAATTTCTATATTGTATTCAATATACACGTTAATCTTCATCCAATTTTGTTTACTTATATTGGCATTTTATCGAAAAAATATATTGAATTAATGTTTGAATATAACGTTGGCCCTCGTTTTTCAGGCGTTAGCACTTTGATGCGCAGCCAATATTGAAATAGTTTGTCAAGCCAACATTGTAATCTTGGGGCAATATTGACTTTCTATATCAGGCCAATATTCATTGCTACCTGGGTATGTTCAAAACATTATTGAACCCATTATTTATCCTCTTCGAAATGAAATTGGAGCCAATTTTATTTTCACAGATGACAATGCTAGGCCCCATCGCACGAGAATGGTACAAAATGCACTAGAAATTCAGAATATTCAAAGATTACCGTGGCCAGCAAATTCGCCAGATATGAATCCCACTGAGCACATGTGGGATTTCGTTGGATGAGCAATCTCAAACAGAATTAATCCTTCTGTCACCCTCCAGGAACTCACAGTCGCGTCCTAAGATAAATGGAACAACATCCCAATGGATTACATTAACACCCTTATTGTTTCCATGCACATGCGAGTTAATGCCTTACTACAGAACAAGGGAGGACACACCGAAAATTTTTGATTTCGCTCTAAAGTGGTTTAACCCATTTACGCCTACCGTCCTTTTAAAAGGACTTCAAAAAATAAACCTATATTTTTCTGATTCAGCTGACGGTTTGAAGATGTCGCCAGTGTCACGTTATATTTAGTTGACATCTTAAACAAGATCAATCGCCATGTTAGGGTTTTGTTAAGTTTTGGATCGATAGTGACGGTTAAAAAACACTGTGTTGTTAGTGATTTTGCAATGAGTGACTCAAGGTAAGATATGTTAAACCTCGTTTATTTTTTCGTTGCTGTTTTGATTATTTTTAACAAATAACATAATATATTTACCTTTTTTTATATTTGTGGTTATGTTTCACACTTCTCAATCATTCCAGGGGCGTTCAATTTAACGAGTCCTTTTAAAAGGACGGTAGGATTATATGCTACTATATGCGTTTTTTTGCAGGCGTTGGAAAAAGCCACTAACCATGGCACAACTCTTAGAAGACTTGGAGAATGACTCTACGCCGGACATTCCTACAGGAATTACAATTTTTCCACCCGAAAATGCCAACGAAAACTGCGATACCGATGAAGATTCTGGGGCTGAAGACGATGTAGATCCAAATAATTTACCCGGAGTGCAACTAAGGACCCCGGCGGAAATCGAATTTGACGTGGAAGGTGATGACGACGGGGACAGTGATGAGGATCTACCACTGTCCACTTTTGTTAAAAGGCGACCTAAACACATAAAGACGTTTGACTATACTCTCAATGAAGATTTAGATTCTACGTTTATACAATGGCAACCAGTTCAAACTGCACAAAGCAATCGTTCCCCTGGAAATATTTTCAAGCTGTTTTTTGATAAAATTGTCAATTTTACCAATATTTATGCACAACAAAAAAACCGCCCCGGTAACGTTACTGTAGACGAGATGTATTGCTTCATAGGGGTGTTACTTGTCAGTGGATATACAACTGTTCCAAGGCGACATATCTATTGGTAAAATTGCAACGATACCCAGAATAAACTTATATCAGCCGCTATTTCCAGAGATAGATTTCAATTCATAATGAGTAATCTTCATTGCAATGATAATACTTCCCTTGATAAAAATGACAAGTACTCTAAATTGCGTCCTCTTTTCAACAGCCTAAATAAAACGTTTTTTGATTATGCTCCAGTTGAAGAGAATCACAGCTTTGATGAGGCTATGATACCGTATTTTGGGAGACAGCGGTAAGCAATTTATTAGAGGCAAGCCTATAAGGTGGGGGTATAAATTTTGGCTAGGTACCCTACGCCTTGGATACATTGTTTATTTTGATACCTATCAAGGTGCGTCGACAACAATTCCGGACAAATATAAACACATGGGTTTGGGAGCGTCAGTTGTTCTCCAATATGCAGATGTTTTACAGAAAATGCCTTACCAGCCCTTTCACTTATTTTTTGACAATTTTTTTACATCTTTGTCACTTCTAAAGGAGCTAAAATTGAGGAACATCAAGACAACTGGTACTATACGTGAAAACCGGATCCCTCAATCTCCATTTAGCAATGCTAAAGTTCTGAAGAAAAAGGCACGAGGTACATTTGAATGGGGTGTTGCCGATAATGAAATCGCTTTATGCAAATGGAATGACAACGTTGTTACTTTAGCCACCAATGCTTGTTCAGTTTTACCAATAAATAAGGTCAAACGATTTTCACAGGCTGAAAAAAAGCATGTTTATATAGATCAGCCACAATTGATCAAGGCGTACAACGAAAATATGGGAGGTGTAGACCGTACTGACCAAAACATAAGCCAATATAGACAATACGAGGTAAAAAGTGGTATTTTCCGTTATTTTCCCACTGTGTCGACATGGCCTCACAAAACTCATAGCACCTCTATAGGAATGATGGTGGTACCCTAGACCGACTTCAGTTTAGGAGGGACTAGGGACTCAGCTGCTCGAAACGTACAGGAAAACGACTAAGAAAGGACCTTCGAAAATACCAAAAACCGCGCACCAATTCTCACGTTACGATAGACTAGATCATTTAGTTACATATCAGGAGAGTCAGCGAAAATGTGCTGTGTGCCACAAAAAAGCAAATTTTGTGTGCCAAAAATGTGACGTTGGTCTTCATCCAAAAAACTGTTTTGTGGCCTATCATACTAATTAATTTTTAAGTTTGAGTTTTAAGTATTTTGCTAAGCATTTTGTAAGATATATAAAAATATTTTTAAATCTTTATTTAATTTTCTAATAGTAGCCCTTTATCCTACCGTCCTTTTAAAAGGACCGCTGTTTTTTTCCGAAAATGGAAATCGAAATTTTTTTTATGATTTTTTCTCGACTTATGGGACCTTCTATTAACCGTTTTTGAGAAAAAATTATACAAAATTGAAAAAAAATAGTTTTAGGGTCAAATGGGTTAATTCAGGATTTCAAATTCTAGTAATAATTGATCTATTTTTCGGTTGCATTTTTTTTTGTTTAGTTAAAATTTAATTCAGCCAATTTGTATTGACATAACGAAAATAAATGTACTATGTAACACACTTCTTGACTTTTATTAATAGTGTCTCATTTTGACAAACATAAGGGGGTTCAAGAATTTTGGCGATGTGTGTAGATCGGTTAAAGTTTATCGGAACCATAAATTTTATTGAAAGTTGTTTCAATCGGCTGTTAGTATTTTTAATAATCATTATTACTATAAGGTAATTCTAAACTGTACGATTTTAAAACTTTAATTATATAAATCAGATTAAAAGGACTTACCTTGTACCGGAAATTCGTTTATAATTCGTTGCAGAGTATACAGCTAATACGCTGACTCCGGAGCCAATATTAACAATAAGAAAAGGATATGGACTCGAAAAATCGTAATTTACTTTGGCACATTTACTTTCATCTGTAGCATCCGTCCAATAATAACACTCCGAAGGATTGTTTCTATCTATGTAGTGTATGCCGGTCAATAACGAATCGAATTCGTCAAATTTCGCTAACTTTAAATTCACTTCCTAAAAATTAAAAACCATAGATAAATTAATATGTAAGATAAACCGTTTAAATGCACGGCACTGGTAACAAGTTTAGTTCCTCAGCATACTATTTGGAGCTACCATCGCAATAAGATAAAAGTGATGTTGCCAGTTTCCATAAACTTTCATGAGATTAGAGTTATTTTAAACATCTTATTTCGATTTTGTCAAGCTCGATACCATCCATACTATTGTATACTATTGCTGGAATATTTTAAAGAGGGGTTTGACAACTATGTTGACAACCTCGTAAAAATGAAAAACGGAATGGCGAAAGGCGAAATGGGAAAATTACAATTAAATAAAAACATATTAAAAGTTATTTTCATGATATATCCCCTCAGGCGATATATTGTGGTTATTTCATGATTATGATGTAAGTTCCATAGGATTATTTTTTAGGTTAAGAAGATTCATAAATGCTGATTTGATGTAATTAATAAATATTAACAATTTAATTTAATATTAGGCGTTACATTCAGTTTAACTATACCCAACTAAACTTAATCCGAGAGTCAGATTGAAGAAAATGTTGAGGCTGAAAAACATACACAAGCAGCATAAGATAGATTTGCTTACCTATCCACAACGAAAAACAAGACATGAGTTGCAAACGTAAACTTAGTATTAGTGATAAACAATTTGAACAACCCTCAAAACGAAGAAAAACTGTTTTGTAACAAATAAATGAAAATAGAGTCAAAAATTTAACTCCTAAAGAGAAAAAGCTTAATTTTATTAATAGAAAACAAAGTATTTGAATTTGTAAGCTAGAGAAAGCTTAAAAATAACTTGTACTTATAAGAATGGCCAACATTTTGATAGGTAAGAGAAAATGTCCAGTAACACTTTTTTTGTTTTTATAGAAACACCTACATCGAAATTTGATCCATTTGCCAAGAATAAGAGGAGACTACTATTAATTTCACTTACAATTATTGTTTTTAATATTGAGTACATGTTATGTATGTAATATACGTTTAAATGCACCTTACTTGTATTAAATGATTAAACTATACCTGTGTTTCAAATATTTTAATATAAATATTTTTTTATTTATATTTTTTGAGGTTTTATTACTTTAACAAACTAATATTTATGATAAATACATTTTTTTAATTTAAATATTAGTTTTTTTAGAGTAATAAATGCCAAAAAATGTAAATAAATAAAGGACATTTGAATGAACCGCGAGTACGCTTTACAATCTTCTTTTTATTTTCTTCTTTTTTGCTGCCTTCAATCAGCCAATTGTGTAGTGTGCGATAATGGCTCCAAATAGTATGTTGAGGAACTAACAATTTGTTACCACTGCCATGCATTTAAACGGTTTATCTTCCATATTATTTTATCTATGTTAAAAACAGTCAGTTAAAACAATAAAATGAATGTAATTACACCATGGCGAAAATATTTTTGAATGTCGCACTTACTCGTTTGAAATCTTCTTCAAATTTATATGCACCGCCTCCTGTTGCCGATACTGTGGATACCAATTTTGCCATTCCTTTGTATTTTGCCAACGATAAGAAGTTCCTCATTTCGCAAGTTGGAAATCTAATGAAATGTAAAGTACCCATTATCCCCCTAATTTTAACGTTCTCCATCTAAAGCAAAAAAAAGCGAAAATAATTAATTTAGGGAATACGGGAATACCATGAGAATTACGAATAAAAGAAGGAATATTCAGTTATTGTTGTAAAGGACTTAAAAAAAACCAAAATGTATCCGTTTTGGGTCTCTTCCTGTTTTATATTAAAAGCTTAATAATCAAGCAGCTTTACATTTGATATTTTTTTGCACCGAAAGTGTAGCACTTCTGAAAATATCGTTCCATTTATACAAATTGTACCTATGGATGAAACGATATTTTCAGAAGTAACGTAGTTCAGTGCTACACTTTCGATGCAAAGGAAAAGACCTAATATTTGCAAAATTATGACACTCCAAATGTATAACAGATTTTCATTCTATTGTTATAATGCGCGTTTTACATCTGACAATTGCTTAATGAATTAATTCATGAAGTAATTTCTTAAAGTTCTTCACGATAAATAGAACATTTGTTATACGTAGGTCGTAACCATCTCTTTAGTGATCTGTACATCAGTTCGACAACAGCGATCCAGACTTACGGAGCGATTAAACTATTTGTCCTTGTTATACGGTAGCAATTCAAGAAGGAGAGTGCCTATGATTCACGCCAAATTAGGTTAAAGTATTTATCAATACAACTAACGCCATTTTTATCTTGGCTTTGCAAAGCCCAGAATAGATATAGTACATATTGCATAGCCAGACAATGAAAAAATTTAATAAAGAATTGCTTCACTAAAAAAGCATAATATTTGTGCAAAGCATAAAAAACATATTTCAGGATTTACTGACAGCTCTCACGTTTGTCCGTCTTGACAGTTTAATTAGACTTTATCAAAGATAACAGAGATATAATTGATAAAATATAATATTCACGATGCCAAAATTAATTCGACAATCGATACACTTTACTTGTAGGAACAGGGCGAGGCGACGAAAGGTGAGAAGTAAGAGAAGGGATAAAGAGAAGAATTTTACGCAGATACAACTTATTTATAAGCCGCTGTGCGCTTATAATAAAAAAAAACGTAAATATCCCCGTCGGTGTAAGCCCTGTTGCCACTTCCAACCTAACATCACTAGGTTTTGGAATTTATTGAAAATTATTACATCTAATTTAGTTAAATTTAATATAACTAATGATTCAATTTTTTTTTTGGGTTTAGTTGCAATAAAATAGGTTGAATTATTTTAGCTTTTTTAATATATCGTCGATCTAAAGCACACATATTGTAACTCCAAATTTAATGTTATAACGATTTTGGTACCAATTAAATTGCATTTTAGTCTTCTTTATTGGGCACAAACATTGTAGCTCCAACATGGCTCCAACACCCACCAAACTAGAATAAATTCAAGTTAAAACTGAGAATTAAGGCATTTAATTACATTTTCTAGAAGTTTAAATTTGCGATTGTCCAAAAATGCGTTTTTGGATATAAAATAAGTGTGCTTTAGACCGACGATATGTAAATTTTGTAAACAAAACGAGAATAATGAAATAGGCAAATGACAACAACGAATATTATACCCGCCTGTGTCTCTTAGAATATGTCTTATTCAGGACCGCACGATATTTGTTTGTAGTTACATCTCCTCGTTATCTCTGGCCTTTATTCAGCCTTGCAACTTTTATCCGTCTTCAGCATTTATTATATTTTTTATATCTGCCTTCAGCTAATTGAATTTTTTATTTTGAAAAGCTTTCAACATCTGTATTTTTTTATAAAATAGTCTGAATTTAATTTCCATTTTCAATTCATCCATCACTACATCTATTTTCCAGCAGTATTATTTTCGTTTAATAGAAGACCATTATAATATCAACTTAATTACCTACTTGTTAGCTAAATCAATATTTTTTTTTTTGGTTTCATGTTAGTTTTTTAATTATAAAAAAAAATCAATAAGATAACGCTCTATTAACGAAAAAGTTAACGACATTCAAGTAGGGGAAGAGGGGGTACAGTGTTACACGGGGTACAGTGTTAAACTTAATGCCGTGACGTCATTACTCGAATAACGCCGGTGCCATTCAAGTCAAAGCTAGTTTCAGTTACGTTCGATGCCCCGATGTGTTTGCATCAACTTCGGAAGTGTTTTGATTGTTTCATCGGTAAGTATTCATTTTTATAACCCTAATGTAAAATAAGGACAGTTACTAATTTTTGTTTCTACTCAAAACTGGTTCATATCAGAATTTATTTGGTTAGACATAATTTTAATGTAGGATGATATAGCTCTAATAAAGTGCCAAATTTAACCTAAAAAAAATTGATGTTGATGTGAGACCAATTTCTTTGTGAAATCGATGTATGGGGCGCAGTGTTACAGCCAGCAGTGGGGCACAGTGTGACAGTGTAACACTGTACCCCATTATTTTAAAAAACATTTAAATTGCGAGAATGATGATGACTTGCTTGTTTCTAAAACATTTCTTTATTATTTATTATTTTCAGAAAATTTTCAAAATGGTGCGAAACCGAAAGGAAGAAAAAAAATTGCTATATTTGATGGAGAAACAATGAAGCGTGCAGTGCTGGAAGTTATTAATAATGGAAAATCGATCAGGTCAGTTGCTGCATCTGAAAATTTGGTACATATGACCTTAAAAAGATATGTGGACAAATATAAACAGTGTTCAGAAGAAAATAGGGAAAATTTCAGGTTTGAGCCAAATTATAAAGTGAATCAAATATTTCCCAAAGATTTAGAGGATGTTTTGAAGACTTACCTCATTGAAGCTTGCAAAATGCACCATGGATTAACAAGAAAAAATGTTATGGATCTAGCATACCAACTTGCCATAAGAAATAATTTGAAAATTCCAGATTCGTGGCAACGACGTCAACAAGCTGGAATAGATTGGTTATATGGTTACATGAAGCGTTATCCAGAACTATCACTTAGGAAACCTGAAGCCACAAGTCTTGGGCGAGCAACAAGTTTCAATCGAACTACTGTAAACGAATTTTATAATAATTTATACAAAGCATACGATAAATTTCTAAACGGTCCATTTCCAGAAAATATATATAATTTGGATGAAACAGCCCTAACAGCGGTACATAATCCTCCAAATATAATTGGACAAAGAGGCTTAAAACAGATTGGACAAGTAACATCTGGCGAAAGAGGTGTATTGGTGACTGCTTGTTGTTTCATTAATACAACCGGAAATTCGGTTCCTCCATTTTTGGTGTTCCCACGCGTACATTTTAAAGATAGAATGTTAACAGGAGCCCCTCCGGGAACTGGGGGTTCGGCTGCAAAAACTGGATGGGTCAATGGAGAAGTTTTCGTGGATATTTTAAAACATTTCCAACGTTTTGTAAAAGCTGCTAAAGAGGCGCCCATACTTCTCATACTGGATAACCACGAGTCACACATAACCATTGATTCCTTAGAATTTTGTAAAAGCAACGGTATAATTCTTTTGACCCTACCACCTCACACTAGTGGAAAACTTCAGCCACTTGATAAAACGGTATACAAGTCTTTGAAGACAAATTTCAATAAAGTTTGTAATGATTGGATGGTCATGAATCCTGGAAAGACCATAACAATTTATGAAGTTGCTGGTTTGCTGGGTAGAGCGTATCCATTAGCATTCACTCCCAATAATATTGTAAATGGATTCAGATGTACTGGAATTTGGCCAATAAATAGACATCTATACAGATGATGATTTTTTGGCATCAGCTATTACAGATAGACCACAGCCATCTTTAGATCAGACTATTAATGTGGAAGCCGAAATCGAAAATTTAGGAAATCAAGGAGACGATGAATTGGAGCCACCTTTACATTCTACTCCGCCACATTCTCCGATTCCATCTACTTCAAGGCACTCCCAGTCCTCTGTTCTGGTACAGTCAAGTAAAAATTCTACTTGTCTTGTGATGCCCACAGACGTTCGACCTCATCCAAAAGCATCCGAAAGGAAAAACAAAAAAACCCGGAAACGCAAAAGCGAGATTCTCACTGAAACTCCAATCAAAGATCAAATCATTGCAGACATAAATAGTCGTAAAAACAAAGCTACCCGAAACGTATTCAAACTAAAAAAATCAAAATTACAGAAAAAAGTTCAACAAGATTCTTCATCAGAAGATTCACATTTTTCATGTGCAGAAAGTGACGCAAGTGTTGGCTCATTTGTCAGCGATGATGTGGAACAGATAGATTTTCATCAGGAAATGGAATTAAATAAGGGAGATTATGTTCTCATAAAAGAAGGGATTACGAAGGGACACGAAGTTATGTCGGTAGGGCTAATAAAAAATAAAAGAGATACCGAAATTAATGTGGTATATATCCGTCGATTACATCCAACCTTCAAATTTGTTCGTACTCTTGAAGAATATTCTTTCGACTTGGTCAAGGTTCTAGCAAAATTGCCTGCTCCAAAACCATCTGGAGGAACAGCCAGGCGATCCGAGATGTTAACTTTCTCAGTAGACCTCGGTCAATATTATAATACTTTAAAATAACTTTAACTTACTATCACTTATTATTTTTAGGTCGTAGTTAAAGTTGAGTAAATGTGTTTTTGATTTATGTTACATATTTTTTAAATAAAAATTTCATAAGAAACTGTTGTTTATTATAAAACATCATAGGTACTCCATTCTAACTTTCACTGTAACATTGTACCCCAGTATGTGTAACACTGTACCCCAGTGGTGGGGAACAGTGTTACTTGTGTATCCCGAATAAAAAATGTGTCACTCTAACCTTATCTTTAAAACTGGATCCGTGATTAATTCTCCGATGATAGTCAACATTTATACCAACCTATTGCTTAAGACAGAATTGGTCTACTATATCTGCTTGAAGCAATAATAATTAATACATTTTTTGTGTAACACTGTGCCCCCTCTTCCCCTACCCCAAGCCGAACTACGACCCGAGATGAGCTGTGAGCATAAATAACTTTAGAATTACTACGTATTACAACTCACTGATAAGGTAAGGCACTCTAATTATAGTTGTATTAAACAATAAACTT